GGTCGATCATTTCATGATGCAGCACCAGTACTTTCATGTCTTTCATGTCTGACAGGAACTGGGGACGTTGAGAAATAGCGAGCTAAATGACAGTTTCTTTTGAGGTGACACATGGAATGCAGGGGATGCAAGGCCCGTGTGCTGTGCGCGAATGATGGACACCCCGACAGGGGAACTCTTCGCCAGGCTGGACCAAATGGATGCCCCATGGGAGCTGGAAATGGAGGCCGATGTTCGGTTTATTTATTCCTTCTCCTGTTGGATACATGGAACGGTGAGAACGGCATCACCACTTCGCGCGACCAGGTCGCGGAGATCAACGGCGAAGCCGTAGATGATGTCGCCGTCTCGGGGTCGCGGCTGCGCACGAGCCGGGTCTCTGGGACTTCGGCGCACTCGGAGGTGGAGTTCCTTTATGAAGGCCTGGTGGCGCAAAGAGAGACAAGAACTTAGGTTTAGTTCCAGTAGATAAGCTAGTAACTATAGTACTCAGGGGCGGAGGGAACACTGGCCCCTGGTTGGAAGTTCACTAGCTGAAGCCTTGGGAGGCCAACCGCTGGGGTCTTCGCCAGAGTTACCAGATGTACCAGAACCTGAAATAGCATGGCACTTGGAACCTCAAAGGAAGCATCCTTCAATTCATACATTGTTACAAAATCATTAATAATGATATAGTATTATATACAGAGAGATAGATATGTAGTGATACTCTCAGAAGTTCTTCGCTTCATTTTGGATTTCATGAAATGGTCACAGGACATACCTGATGATTCATGGCTCGTATTTCCAGTTGGCATCTTTTGCATCCCTTGGGCACTAAGGCGCCTCCCAGCCCGAAGAGCGAGGCACTCTTGTCGCCAAGGTGCTTGAGTTCCGGCCGGTGGAGGGCTTTCAGCCAGCTCTAGCATTGCAGAGGGCCCATAGAGATCTTAAATGGCTTGGACTCCGGATGGGCTCCAACCCGTGTTTTTTCATGGAGAGGCTGGCAGTTGGCTTTTTATTGTTTGCGCATGGAACCTTCCATCAAAGAACCTTTACTGTGAATTGAATCACTGAAGTAGATTGCCAAACACCGCATAAAACTGAGATGACGCCTATGATGCCTGGATGCTTTCCTCCTTGATGTGACATACCAGGGAACCCGGTGTGTGACATCTTTGTGTGGCACATCTCCCTCAAGCTCCGCGGTTTTGAGCGCTGGCCCTGCCACAGGCCACCTGCGCCAGTGGCGAAGAGTTTGGAAGAAGAAGACTCTGAGGAGGACTCCACAACTCATCTTGAGCAGTGCCCTCGTGTTGTCTTGAGCAGTGTGCGTGTGATAGATTTTGGTGTAACTGGGGTCGGACGGATTGGCACGAATCAGATCGAATCAGACGGATTCCCTTTCCAAGTGTTTGTACAGAAAGCATTCAAAATTGGTTGCACGGATCCGTGAATCTGGTTCTATGGTGCGGAAATATTAATGTTGGTGTGTATTTTGCAGACTCTGAGGCTGAAGCCCATGCAGGGCTACTTCAGCATCCTGGCGGTTCGTGAGTGGATCCAGCTTGTTAACTTAGCTGTCCAGAGTTTGTCGTACACTCTCTGTCCATTTAAAGAAATCTGATTGGCATGAGCGGAGCTGGCAGGCTTTTTGACCTGCTTGACGAAGAGAGGCCAGGTGTGAACAGGTGTGAAAAGCTGTGCTGCTGCCGCTGCCCCTCTGCTGCTGCTGCTGGTGCAGATTCCGAATTCCGATTATTCGCTATGCTCTGTGCGAAGGAAGGGCTTTGTGACCCGCCGGGAGCTGCTCTTCGCGCTCAATGCGCGCCAGGACACTGCTGTGAGTAGCTGGGGCCAGGTCAGGCGGAAGTGTTCTCCATCTCCATCCATCTCCATCCATTGTCTCTCCAACTCCGATTCGGTCTATTTTATAAACCGATTTGGCACGAACGATGGAAGCGAAGGAGCGAATTCTTGAAAACGAGTGTGTCCGAGTGGCGCGGCCAGGAAGTCTATCGAGCATTTTGCCGGTTCTACATTCAGGCCATGGTAGCTGCAGTCATCCAATGTCAACATTCAGACACAGTCCTGGAGTGGTCTGAGACCGAATTCTTTCGGGTGTGTGGGGCAAACACCATGCACCTCATGAGCATTTTCGCTTTCGATCGAGCATTTCGATTCGAGCTGTGTTGATGAACTTCGCCAACCAAACGGTTTGGCTCAAGCTGAGCAGGTGGAAAAGACCGCTTGCTTTGAACGCCCCAACTCATACCTCCTTAGGTTATGAGCCCAAACCGCTAGGGTTCTAAGTCCACCCACAGCCTTTGAGTGAGAGGTGTGGTTGCTGGCCGCCATGGCCGCTTTGCAGCGCCGACGCAGGCAGAGCTCCCGAGAAGGAGCAGCTGAACCCGCAGAGGCCCCTCGACGTGCACATCGAGAAGAACGAAAGAAGCCAGAGGAAACAGCAGATCAAAAGTTGGACCGGTTGCTCAAGGAGCAAAGGGCAGCTCGGGCCTCGTCACTTCCTGCTGAAGATGATCTTGCTGTTCGACGCTTGGCTATGCACCCTACGGCTGAGGGAGGTGAACCTCAGGGGAGAAGAAGAGAGGGAAGTGTGGCACTTCAACCTGGACATCATGGAGGGCATCACGATGCATCAGCTGGCCAGCTGGCCGGGGCTGGAGGCCTCATGAGCGCCTTGCATGATCCTCGGGCTAACGCCTTGGGTCTGGGCGGATTGCAAGAAGCAGCACGCCAGTCGTTCGAGTTGTTGCAACAGGCATTAGGCCACCACATGCCGCCTTCGCCGTCTCCGGGACTTTTAGATCCCCTTCTTCGAGGTTCTGACCTACCTCAAGGACCAGGTTCGGGACTACCTCATCAACCAGGTGGCGGATTCTTTGGCGGGCAAGGTTCTTTGGCTGGAACTCCACATCAACCTGGAGCTCCACACGGTGATCCAAGAATGGGCACGCCTGCAAGCGCAAGGCAGGTAGAGCGGGAGGAGGTGAAACCCAGGGTGCTTGAACCATTTCGCACGCCACAGGGCCCCCTTGCCACTGTGAACCCCTTCTGGACCACTTCAATTCAACAAGCTGCGCGAGGTGAAGGTCATGTGAGAATGGCGGAAAGTGCAGGTGCTCGGGCTACCAACGGAAGTCCAGGACCTGGGGATGTTGAGAAACTTCGTACCCAGATCCTCAAAGAGGCGGAGGAGAAGTTCGCTCGTGAAGTCAAACGCATAACTGATGGAGCAGGTGGTGGTGATGCATCGTCGTATGCCTCCGTTGCCAGTGGTGGAGTTGATGGTCGTGGAACTGCAACACATCCTGGGCTACCACATGGTGATCCCTCAGGTGCAGGTGGACCTCCCGGGTCAGGACCAGATCCTCCCCCAGGCCTTCATGGTGGACAACCTCATGGGGATGCTCGAACCCCGTTGGCTCCGGTCGTTCCAGAGACCGTCAGGGCTTTGGATCTTCCTGCCCTTCCACTACCTTCATCCGAAGGCGCGGCATTGCAGTTTGGGGATTGGCTGACTGTGGCCTATCCGTTGATGGCAGACTTGTCCTCTACCTCACAGTTTTGGTGGGATGGATGCCTTTCTGCCGCTCGTGAACTATATGAACAGTGGCTGGTGGCCACGCCCTTGGAAAGGTTGCGCCTGCGGCCAAAAGATGTCACTGTGGACCCCTTGTACCAGAGAGTGGAGCAGCGGGGAGTGTCATTGCTGCTGGGCATCCTGCCCGAACAATTGAGAAGAGATGTCATCTCCTCTCGCCACGTCACAACTGTGAGCATCCTGTTCAAGTTGTTTGTAGTGTTTCAACCTGGAGGAGGAGCTGAACGCACAACGCTTCTCAAAAGCCTCACCGAAGTGAAGGTGGGTCACTCCGTCACGGAGCTCCTGGCGACGATGCGGCAATGGCGCCGATGGTTGCAGCGAGCTGAAGAACTTAAGGTCACGCTGCCAGACCCGCTGATCCTCATGAATGTCCTTGGCAAGATCATGGACTCGTTGGCCAAGCTGGGAGGCAGTCAAGTGGCGTACAGAGTCTCAACTGTGCGTCAGGAATTGTTGGTTGATCAACGTCCGGAGATGAACTCCATCAAGGACCTCAGCGAGTACCTGCAGGCGGAGCTGGAAGAGCTGGCTTTGGTTGCTGCAGTCCCCAAGGGTGCCGCCAACACGACGAGCTCGCCCACTACCAATGAAAAGACTCCGGTGGTGAAGGCGATGCAGTCCGGCACTCAAGAAGAAAAACCTCAGTCTCCATGCAAGTTTTGGGGGACCCAACATGGCTGTAAACGAGGAGACACTTGTGGCTATGGGCATAGCTGGGAGGGCTTGGACCGACAGCACAGGTGCTTCCACTGTTCTGGGGAGGGTCACATGGCGAAGGATTGTGTGCACCGTCAACCCAAGAACTTCAAGGATGTGAAAAAGGCAGCTCGCTTGCGAGGAGTTGCGCCCGAGGGCTCAAAAGAAGGCCCGACCAAAGAAAAGGAGGTTGAAGTGGGAAGTCCTGGGTCTACATCGACTTTGAGCCCATCGCCCTTGTCGCCGACGACGGTGTCTGGAGGGGGATTGAAGGATTCGGGAGGTGGTTCTCCAGCCAAGTCAACGCTGGAGGAGAAGCCCAAGAATGACATCGCCACAGACCTCATCCAAGAAGCTGCAACGCTGCTCAAGACGCTTCGGTCCGTGAAGACGATGCGCATCAAGCAGATCAGTGCTCACCCTCAGGAGTTTGGAACTCAGGGGTTTGCCCTTTTGGACGGTGGGGCCACCCATGCCCTACGTGTTGCTCGACCTGAAGAACGAGCTGAACTTTTTCCAGTTGAAGTGGAGCTGGCACAAGGCTCAACAGTTTTGTATCGCCACCCCAAGCATCGCACCTTGTTGTCCCTGACGGAAGTTGAGCCGATCATTCCTCTGGGCCTCTTGGTTGAGCGCGGCTTCAAGGTGGAATGGCGACGTTCGGGATGCAGCATCCACCACCCGACTTTGGGACCAATCCCCTGTTGGTTGAGGAATGGATGCCCCATCATGCATCGACAGCCTGCGCTGGACATGTTGGCGCAGTTTGAGATGGAGGATCAGGGGGAGGTGGCTCTCTCTGATGAAGATCGAAGTTGGTGGCAGAAGCATTTTCCTGAACTACCACTTCCAGTTCTCCAGCACATGGCTGGTCAAAGTCAAGAATCTACAGCTCCGCCCTGGAATCGAAGGTTGCGACGGGCCCACATGACTGGGAAGGGTGTCATTGTTCACCTTTTCAGTGGAGCTGATGCGAAGAAATGGAATGATGTTGGTGGAGGCCGCTACTCATGGCTGTGCATCGACACTGAGATCAATGCAGCCCTGAACCTCCACAACCCTTCAGTTTGGAGTTACTTGTGGAAGCTGGCATCACTTGGCCGCATTGTTGCCATCATTGGAGGTCCTCCACGCAGAACTGTAAGCCGCCTTCGAAATAAGGCTCCTGGCCCTCGACGATTACGTGGCCGAGGAGAAGATCGTTGGTGCCTTCCTGATTTGGACGATGATGAGCAGCGCTTGGTCCACGGCGACACTGCACTTTGTATGAAGCACATTGGTCTTTGGCTACGTGCTCAAGAATGCCGTCGTGTTCCCACGGATGTTGGAATGTTGCTGGAATCTCCACGTGACCCAGCTGAATACTTGAGTGATCAAGAAGGAGCTCAAAGCGCATCTTTTTGGTGCTTCCCGGAAATCATGGCCTGGACTCCGTCTGGTCACCTTCGACCAAGGACGGTTGGGTCATCAGCGAAAGAAGCCCACGACGGTCCTCACCAACCTCCCGGCCTTCGAAGAACTACATGGTCTCCAGGGTGAAGGTTGTGATGATAGTCCACTACCCACCAAGCTGGCAGATCGCATTCGCACTTCAAGGTCTTGGGCCGCTTGGGCGCCAGGACTTGTGGCTGCAATCAAGGAATCGCTGCGGAGGTTGCTTGGCGTTTTGGAGGAGGAAGGTCGAAATGGTGACGCCCACAACATGTCCAAAATGGACCTTGCAGCCTGGCACCGACACATCAAACAGGGGCACATTCCCTTTCGTGCTGACTGCCGAATCTGCGGTGAAGCAATGGGCTGTGATAAACCTCACAAAAGACTTGGGGGGAGCGCAACGAAGTTCACTATGTCAGCGGATCTATGTGGGCCCTTCCCTGCTGGTCGTGACCTTGGCACTGGAGTGACCTGTAAGTATGCACTGATCTCCACTGTGGCCGTGCCCATTGTCTCAGAGCTTCCAGGCGAGGTTGCCGAGCCCTATGACACTGCAGACGACGTCAAGCACACTGAGGACCTGCCTTGTGATCCTGAAGAGCGAGAGATGCTCTCTGATGATGAAGTTCAGCGGCTCAATGCGTTGGCCCAGATTGAAGAGGCCCAAGAAGCTCCTGGACACCAAAATATCACGTTTGCTGAGGTGATCCCAGACAGAACTGTGGAGTCTTTGGTCCGTGCCCTGTCTCGACTACATGCCAAGTACCGCATGCTGGGCATCCAAGTGTACCGCCTCCACACAGATCGAGAACGATCGTTTGCCTCAGTCCCAATTCAAAAATGGTGTGAACAACGTCAACTTCGATTGACTCTGACTGCAGGCGATGACTCGAAGGCCAACGGCCGCATTGAGGGAGAAGTGAACCAGATCAAGCGCCGAACTCGACTTCTTTTACATGATTCTGGACTTCCTCAATCCCTCTGGCCAACAGCCCTACGCCATGCTGCAGAAGGCCGTGTGCGCCTACAACTTGAAAGATTGGGCCTGCCGAGCCCGCCAATGCTTCGCTACGGAGCTTCAGTTTTGGTTAAGTCCAAACGCTGGCATCGCGCTGGACAACTCTCCATGCCCTACCGCACCATGCAGCTCCTGGGACCATGCCCATACATGTCTCATGGTTGGATTGCCCGCGACAAGAAGGGGCAGCTGCTGCATGTGAGGACGGCTTTGGAACCTTCGCCGGTGGCTGACCAGGCGATCATGGATTTGCAGGAGGTGCCATCAATCAAGCACCGCATTGTGGGGAAACATCCACCACCTCTACCTGACCATCCTCTTGCTGGAGCCGTGGGCGCCTTGTATGATAAGTCTGACCCAGCTCTTGCCGCATGCCGAGCTGGGGGGGAGGATCCTTTGCCCCTTTTGGACGAGGTCGGCCGCTCCTTGGCACTTCAATTTGAGGATGAAGGGGATTCGGAGGAGGTTGTTGGAGGTCCCACTCCCGATAGTCTTGATCAAGGTGATCAATGTCAACACCCTGACCTTCCGGGGGAGCTGGAAGATCCTATGTGCTGCTCACGACAACAGGCCGAGCAGTGGCATGAACTTGAACAACAACGTCACTGGGCTTTGAAGCAGCTCTGGTGTCAAGGTCTTCGAGAAGTTGCAGTTGGTGAGGACGCTGGGAGTGTTCACGGCAGCTGGCTTCGTGAAGTTGAATTGCTGCTCCGAGGTGCTGAAGATCAATTGTCGTTTCAGCATTCCTCCTTGCAGAACTACAAGATGGCTTCACTGGCTCCAATGGCTGGTTCAACTGAGGTCCCAGTCACGGTGCTCCAGACCTACACGGTCTCCCTACAGCAGGTTCGCAAGGAGTTGGAAAAATGGAAGCCTCCCTTGCGTGATGAATATGGTCAACTGGTTTCATCGACCCAGGCAATCAAGCCAACTACTGAAGAAAAGTTGCGCCTGGATCCAAGGTTCCCAACTATGGAACTCGCTCCAGCTATGCTTGTTCCCACGGTCAAGAGTCCTCATGGACGTCTCAGAGCACGGGTGGTAATCTGTGGCAACCACCTCACCAAGGTCAACGAGGACCAGGACAACTCAGCAAGTGAAATGAAGGCCAAAGACCAGGCTCCGTATTCACTATATGCAGGAGGAGCAGATGGGACAACACTGCGTTGCTTGATGAGGTGCGCAGCTCAAAGATCCTGGTCAATTGGCACGGTGGACATCAAGACAGCGTTCTTGTTAGCGCCACGGCCGGACGAACGTGAACGTTTGCTCGTTGCTCGCCCTCCGAGGGTGCTGGTCGAAGCTGGAATATGTCCTCCCACCGAACTTTGGGAGATATCCCACGCTGTCTACGGGTTGAACGATGCCCCAGCAAATTGGTCGCACTATCGCGACAGAGAACTTCCTCAGCTACGCTTCAAGGCTGACGGTCACGAGTACCAATTGGTCACCACGCCAGAGCCTAACCTCTGGAAGCTTGTCAAGACTCAGCCCAACAGCATCCCGGAGGAGGACACTTCAGAAGGCTTCTTGGCAGTGTACGTTGATGATATGCTGGTTGCTGCTCCAAGTCCACTGGCTCAGGCGGTGATTGATGGAATCAGGGCTCGTTGGCGCTGTTCAGAACCGGAGTGGGCATCGTCAGAAAAGTCCCTCAAGTTTTGCGGCTTCGAGATCAAGTGCCGCCCAGGTGAGGTCATCCTGAACCAGACCTCCTACACTCGAGATCTCCTTGCACGCCACGAAGGCATCAAGTCGAGACAAACTCCTTTGCCCCTCGGCGTACAAGATGAACTGGAGGAAAACATCTCCATTGAACAGGTCCGCAAAGCCCAGGCTCTCGTTGGTGAATTGCTCTGGCTCAGCGGGCGAACCAGGCCTGATCTCAGCTATGGAGTCTCCATCATGGGCCGCTTGGTGACGAAAGCTCCGGGAAAGGTTTTGGAATGGGGAGCTCACATGCTTGGATATCTGCACTCCACCGTGGACTATGAGCTGTGCTACACCAAACAGGTGTTTGAAGCTCCTTCCATTGAGTCTGAGGCAGCCAAGCTCCCAAGTGTTCGAGTGTTTTCGGATGCGTCCCACGGTCCACAAGGAGGCAGAGGTCAACAAGGGTTGCTGGTCACGTACAACGGATCTCCGGTGCAGTGGGAAAGTCGACAACAGCCATTCGCCACTCTCTCAAGCGCTGAATCGGAACTCATGGGCTACGTTGATGGAGTGGTGATGGGTGAGTCGGTCGCTGCAATTGTGAACATTCTAGAGGACCATAAGCTGCATTTCGAAGGCGAGCAGGTCCTATGTGGCGATTCGCAAACTGTGCTGAAGATTTTGGTTGCACCTGACGGCCCATGGCGGACGAGGCATTTGAGATTGAGAGCCTACGTCATCAAGGAGCGCATTCAGCAACAGTGTTGGCGCACCTTGCACGTTCCTGGCACGGAATTGCCATCGGATCTGTTGACGAAGCCGATAGTCAACCCGACCTCATGGCAAAGGTTTTTCCAATTTTTGGGTGCACGTGTGCCTTCAGGGATTGGGCAGAAGGAAGAACACCAGTCAGTTTGTTCTAGGCTCCAGGCGGTTGTAGCTGGAATATTAGGAATGGCTGTTTGGAATCCAATCCATGAAGCACACAAGATTGCACGCTGTTTGACCGTCACAGCACTTGTAGCATACCTGGCCTCGAAAGCACAGGACCTCAAGAAGATCATTGGACACCTTCCGGCAGAATCCCAGACTAAGGGCCCAAGGGGACGGGATTCGGTCGAAACAAGATCGGTGAGGGAAGATGAACCCACCGCACTAGGAGGGGAAGAAGACACAAGATCGGTGAGGGAAGATGAACCCACCGCTGGGCTGGGGGGACGGGCGGGCGACATTAGCCTGAGAGGCTCCCGTGCGGCCGCGTTCGAACCTCGCTGCCATGGACATGGTGTGCGCCTTGCTGCCATGCGCGCTGAGCCCAGCACTGAGTCCGGCACATGGACGGTGGCTGGACCTCATGAGTGGCCGCAATTCAGACTTCCTCCACAAGGACGAGATCGATGGGGGCGGCTGCGCGATGGCTGGTGGGTTCGACATCATGTCAAACCAAGAAAAAGGCCATTTCATCCTGTACATCGGCAGACGCCATTCGACGCGGCTCAAATCCGCAGTGGACGGGTTACTGTGGTATGGCTGCATGGCGAGAAGTCGGTGGTGGAGGATGACTGGCGCAGTGGCACCAGGCCGATGGTTCCGACAGAGGAGCAGTGGGTGGGCTACAGTTTTTTCCGTGACAACCCACCTCAACCTCCGCTGCCTGAACATGCCACCCTGGATTCACAAACGAGCTCTTCGACCCCTGCTGGCCAGACGACGGGAAGCTCCTCGACACCGACGCCACCTGGACAGTCGCTTTCGACCTCGCAGGTCAGTGCGTCATCGGGGCCTCCACCGGTTCGACCAGAAGAAGAGCTACTGAGAGGCATCAGGAGGGTTCGAAGAGGCTCAACAGATAGCTCCACAGGGACACCAACGAGCACCTTGTCCTCGACGATGACGGCATCGACTCGTGGCATGGATGCTATGGAAGCACCTCTCACTCTCGGCTACCTTGGCCGGATGAGGGGACAGGAGAATCGAGGAGAGAGGCCTGCGCCAGCCAACATGCAGGTTCCTCTTGAGGAAGAGCGGTCGGATTGGATCCTCTCGCTCCATTCCGAAGGTTTGCTGCTTGCCCGGCATCCCAACTTGCCGGATGAAGCGACGCCTCAATGGTTGGGCATTCAAATGCCTGTGGCTCGGAGCTCGCGCCCTGCCGGCGCTGGACGACCAAGTGAGGCCTCCAGGCCCGCGGCTCGAAGTGAGGGCAACAGGCCCGCGGCCCGAAGTAGTTCGGGTCCCATGCCCATCAATGAAGAGTGGGATTCCGACGGAAGCTATGAGCTTCTGGAGAACTGAATGGCTGACCGAAAGGTCTTTTGGCCAATGGAATGCGGTGGCGCACCGCAGGGGGAGTGTGGGGCAAACACCATGCACCTCATGAGCATTTTCGCTTTCGATCGAGCATTTCGATTCGAGCTGTGTTGATGAACTTCGCCAACCAAACGGTTTGGCTCAAGCTGAGCAGGTGGAAAAGACCGCTTGCTTTGAACGCCCCAACTCATACCTCCTTAGGGTGAAAACAGAATTCTTTCTTTAAGACGTTCCTGGGCCAACGGGTCCATCAGAATGTAATCAAAAACGATCCTCATTCGCTGCCAACGGGTTTGCAAGGACGAAAATCCTTCGATTCGGCCGACTCGTGTGACCTGCGAGTCGTGTTCAGGTGGAGGAAGAGTATATGTACTGGTGCGACCAGGTCGGTCAGGATCCGCTGCCACCTGGAGGCAGATCCCCTTTACTGCACTTTTGCGGCATCTCTTAGTCTCTTTAGTGTTGAGTGATTGGCCAATGACAACGACATAACAACGACCATTACATCACGCCATCGCTTGGACCGTCGCTTTGGATGCCGGAGCCGTGTCCGTCCTTCCAGGTGTTCCACCACCCGAGGCTCGGCTCCGTTCTCGTCTGCGACGGTCGTCCGCTCTCGTCTGGGCGTCTCGCGGCACCGGCGGAGGCGGACAATCCACGCTTTGTGGATGACTGGCGTCACGTCCGGCGGGCTGGGAACCCCAGACCGTGACGGGTCGGCTGGGAACCCCAGGTGTCGGGGGTGACCCGTGTTTGGGGCGACCCGTGCTGCACAGGAAGTGGAAGTGCGGGAAACGGTGTTGTCCTTAGACCGCTTAGACCACTGTCAGATACTGTACGTACATTTTGAGAAAAAAAAGAAGAGGCCCAAAGTTCAGAAGAGAAAGAGACAAGAAACAAGAAGAACGCATCTAGATTTTGCATCCAAAGTTGAACTGGATGCAGATTTGATGGACATCTGGATATTTGGGTACGATCCAACCCCTGTGAAGCACAGACTTGTGCAGGAATGGCAGGGCGAAGTGAAACGGTTTATCTTCCAGGACCTGCCCTACGCTCTGCATCCAAGAGTCCTAGACTGACTGCCATGCAGGACCTTGAGAGAAGTCTTGCGGGCCGGTGCAGCCCCCAGAAACGGAAGCACTGTGCCTGGTTGGTGTTAGAATTTTGGAAGAATTTCTAGGAGTTTACAAACATCAAACGACAAACGATATCAAACGGCATTTGGGCAGCTCCATTCAAATCCATTTGCAAGAGCTTCTACATATTCTCTGAGCAATTTCCCCCTTCCTGCCAACAAAAAGCACATGTCCCCCAAAAAATCAAGCAACCACACAACTTCTGCAGGAAGAGTTTGATTATCCGAAAGAGCCTGGAGTTTTTGGACGAAGCCTGCAAGCAAACAGCACTCCTTCGAGCTCCGCAGGCGCCAAGGGACATGAAAAAGGACACGCTCGGGACATCTAAAAAGAAAAGCCCGCTCCGGGCACGCAAGGGATCTGGTTGACTTGGAGTTCTATTTTTTTCCCTTTCTCTTCTTTCCCTGGTGGCAACTGAGTCCCATTTGTGCAGATTCTCGTAGGCTGTTGCCGTGCTTCATCAAAAGTGCAACAAGATCACCTTGGAGATTCTGGTGAACTACTTCAAGATGCAAGGCGCGGAAACCGCGGAAACCGTGCGCCGCCCGATGGTGGAACACCGTGGTGAAGTTGGTGGACTCCACCAGAAGTTGGTGGTCCTTGAATGAAGTGGACGGATGCATCTCTTGCTTGGTTTGGTTCTTCTCGGACAACGGATGCATCGTAGCTTTCCGTCGGCGTTTTGCAGCTCAACAGCGGCGTTTCCTCAAGGTTTGCTGATGGAGTTCCGCACCGCACCGATCCTGAGCACCCTGCCGGCAGACTTGCCTTCCTGGGCAGAGCTCTCGGTGACTCCGAAATCATCTCAGTCGTGGAGCACATGTGTGAAAGAATAGCACATGCACATGCACTAATATGAAAGCTAGAGCCCACTCCTGTGAATATGACAGACACGAGTGTTATCATCGGCCTCCTAGGTGGATCAAGAGCCAGTCTTGAGCCTCGAGGACACTGGAATAGCTCAGATTCTTGACGTGGTTCAGGTAGCATTCGTTTGGCTCATCAAGTTTGAGGCTCTTTGCTGCATGCCACTTTTAGCGTTTTCACCCAAGAATGAACCCCTCCGCTATTGGAATGCACGGACTGCATTGAAGTGACAACCTTTTTTGAAGAAGTCGTTTGAAAGGACTACTAGGAGCAAGGACGCTACTAGGGGCTCCTGGCCTTACTACTAGGAGCAATGTTCGCTACTAGTAACTAGGCCCTAGGCCTGGGACTCCAAGTGATGCCCTTTGTTACTAGTAGCTTCTTGTTCCTAGTAGTAAGAATGCTCCTACTAGCGATGCCAGGAGCCCCTAGTAGCGTCCGTGCTCCTAGTAGTAAGGCCAGGAGCCCCTAGGTTTGAAAGGACTAGGCCCTAGGCCTCGGACACAATTCCTGTGAGTTGCCTGGCCCCCGCCATGCACTCTCAGCAGTGGCGACCAAAGATTGTCGCTGCTGAAAGTTCTTTGTCGTACTGAGACCCGCACATCACACACACACACATAATAAATTCAATCTATATAGTCACCAGCAACCAAGCGAACCTCACAACCTGCAACACCGTTAAGCCGGTTGTTTCAAGAGTATTTGAGACATCTTTGCATAATCAACATGTAGCAGCCATGGCCGATGGACTCGTGCTGGAAAGCATGCTTGCACGCCTGGGACTCGTGCTGGAACATTGTCGAAGCCACGGTTCATAGATGGTCATAGCCTAAGGTGCTCATGCGGATGAGGAAGGATATCCTGTTTTGAGGCACCTGAGATGCGGAGGGCCTATGGCGGCCTGAGACGAACATCCGTCAACCACGAATACTTGATGCCTGGCCAACCTGCATCGATACTCTACACCCTTATCACTTTTTCCGTTATTTCAATATGTTTTGCAAGGAAGGCAGGGTGGTTCTGCCTACGGCTACGGCAACGCCATTCACTTCCAGATTCTTCGGGATGGGGTGAGGGACTTCTCGGGTGCCAGGCCCAGCTTCGACAGTTTCACCACAGCACCATCCGTCCGGAATCCTGGTCGTTCTGAAACGGTTCCGAAGTCTCCATTCCTCCAGAGGAGACCACCCGAAAGCGACGATTCGTTCCGTTTGGAGCTGTTGCTCCAAAAAGCGAACCCCAAACGCCTTACAAAAAGAAGAGCGGAAACACAGATCCCCCGGCAGTGCCTGGCCGCATTTTTTGCAACATCGTGTCTCAGGAGGACATGGACCTGCCCCAGCCAGGCCTAGGCCTCAGGACTGGCATGTGGGTCATGTGGACCTTAGAACATCTTAGAACTGAACTCCACAGAAGCTGAGGAATATCACCTACAGGTGCTTCTCCTTTCAAAGACATCTCCTATACAGTACCATAGCACCACCTACCTTTCAGCATTGTTCAGTGGAAGTCGTTCAACACATTTGTGCCCTTGAGGGCCAGCAACGGCCCTGAATGGTGCGATCATTGCTCTACAGGCGCTTCGTTCGTTTGGCGCCGACAGCGGTTTCGATAGGCATGGACCTTGCATGAGCTACATTGGAGACCCACCACGGAACGAGCCCCCCCCCTTGAGAGCTATGTTCCTAAATGATCCAAGGATCCACAGAAAAGAACACACTGCTGGCAGAGGATTGGTGTTTGGTTGAAGTCTCGTGGTTTTGTATCGAACGTTTCCAAAGATTCATGCGCGTTTTCGCAAAGGTGCTGTTGAACGAAGCGCCCAACACGGTCAGCGGCCCAGCTGTGGAGGGCTGCGGAGTGGCCCAGCTCTTTGCCAACAACCCAACGCTGTGAGGAAGCTGGAGATCTGGACGTGAGGACGGGGAGTGCAACGAGTGCTCCGAAATCCATGGACGATTCGCGCAAACCTTCGATTAGATGCTTCAATGTAGTGCAATGTATAGGTGTATCATGACCTGAAATCGCTCTGGGAGTCCTGCGCAGAGCTTTTTCCATCTTCGTCTCTTCAGCCCAGGACCTCTGCCCGGCGCTCTCCTGTGGTGTTGACCTGAGTGACTCCACGAGGGCCACTGCCCGGGCCAGGGACCGGTGGTTCTTTGGAGAACCTCGTTCTCACTGCACATGGATTTAAGATGGAATGAATCCAACAGCATCCAACAATAAGCTACTAGGAACAAGTGCATCGCTACTAGTAACAAGTGCCTTACTAGTAGTAACACGAAGCTAGTAGAAACAAGTGCCTTACTAGTAGTAACAGGTGCCTTACTAGTAGTAACACGAAGCTAGTAGAAACAAGTGCCATACTAGAAGTAACAGGTGCCTTATTAGTAGTAACAGGTGCCTTACTAGTAGTAACACGAAGCTAGTAGAAACAAGTGCCTTACTAGTAGTAACAGGTGCCTTACTAGTAGTAACACGAAGCTAGTAGAAACAAGTGCCTTGCTAGTAGAAACAGGTGCCTTACTAGTAGTAACACAAAGCTAGTAGAAGCAAGTGCCTTACTAGTAGTAACAGGTGCCTTACTAGTAGTAACACGAAGCTAGTAGAAACAAGTTCCTTACTAGTAGTAACAGGTGCCTTACTAGTAGTAACAGGTGCCTTACTAGTAGTAACAAGAAGCTAGTAGAAACAAGTGCCTTACTAGCAGTAACAGGTGCCTTACTAGTAGTAACACGAAGCTAGTAGAAACAAGTGCCTTACTAGTAGTAACAAGTGCCATACTAGTAGTAACAGGTGCCTTACTAGTAGTAACAAGAAGCTATTAGAAACAAGTGCCTTACTAGTAGTAACAGGTGCCTTACTAGTAGTAACAGGTGCCTTACTAGTAGTAACACGAAGCTAGTAGAAACAAGTGCCTTACTAGTAGTAACAGGTGCCTTACTAGTAGTAACAAGAAGCTATTAGAAAGGTATGCCTGTGATCATAAATCAGATTCTGAATGAATCCGTCAAAGGCGCGACGGTCGACCTCCCGACGAGGCGTCGACCTGGGATGCCTTGCCGCCGGGTCAGGTGCGGCCAGCGACAACACTTCGAAGAGTGGATAGGGAGAGAGGCAGATGCATGAGAGTAAGCTGTTGATCAAGATTTCATGGTTTTGAAAAGCTTAAAGCAGATAGGCTTCTTGCTTCATCTGAAGATTTGTGAAGATGATTCGCGCCTGTTCTTCGCCAGGCTTCGGTTCGAAGACCCGCTCCCTTGCGAGGGCAGGCGTCGTCATCCTGGGTGTTCCACACGGGATTCGGCCCAACCTTTCGGCTTTCGTCCAGGTGGTGAAAACGCAGCAGGCCAGATGATGTTTTGTGGCCTTTCAAGTGGGAAGACTTCAAGACGCTAGCTGCTAAGCTTTGTAAGCCCAGCCACTTGCAATGGTGCCATACTGCTGGCATGGCTGTTTGCATTCCTATTCTCCAGAAGAGTTGGTGTAAACATCCGGAAGACAGGCTATCACTCGTGCAGTCTGTGCCCAAGTCGTACTTTCTCCACCTTCTCCGATGTCCGCAGCACTGTCCACCGATGCTCCAAGATCGAGGGCATTCTTCGCTCCTTGGAAGATGCCTCCATCACAGAGGACCGAGACATGCTAAGATTGGAATCGGAATCAGATGAAAGAAGAGAATGAGCACACAATACAGTACACAGACACACCATACAGTACATACATGTACACATTTGACATACATACACACGAAATAGGCGAAGTCTGTCTGCAGATGAGTGAAATCTAACCAGAATGCCAAGCGCATGAACGTCAGGACTTCGCAGGCCATTGTTTTGCTTGCCATGCCGTGCGATTCCGATTTGCAATGCGCAAGGTGAAGCAGGTTGGAAATTACATTTCTTCTTGTGCAATGTTACCTGCCTATTAGCTGCAAGCATCAAAAGGAAAATACATTTAGCCGGAGAAACAAGCATCAAGGACGTGGAGCATCTAATAATCAAAGGATGTACTAAAGTACACTAAAGTCTTTTCGAATGTGCAGGCCTCCCAGTACTTTCAATGGACATCAGCAAGGGACTGAATGACTCCTCAAGTTTTGATTGTGGGGCAACCATCACACCCTAGAATTCTCACAGGATGTGTGACATCTAGTTCTCACAGCGTTTGAGCTTTATGCTCTGCGCATATGTTGGCCATGGCTAATGGGCGCACAGGCACTGAGCAGTGGGTTTGCCACATGGTTGTGAGTCAAACCTGGAAATGCCAAGCCAAGGTGGACAATTGCCCATAAGATTGTTCCGCTGAGCTTGTGCAGCGGGGGTACCAGGCATACTTGCAGCATTGGCCGACAGGCAGCGTCGGCTGCCTCTATTTGCTGCCATGTGGAGCGCTTGCCGCGGCAGCAGTTAAGCGACCGGGAACCCAGAAGCAGAACTGCCAGTCCGAAAACATGCCAGTTGCCATAGAAGTATACCCCTCACAGCTCTTCCCAAGTCTGAAGGGTTTGCCAAATCCAGTCCTTTGGATTTGTGAGCCACGAGCATTGAGAGGGTGGCGATTGGATGGGTTCCTGGGCAAAAAAAGAACCGCCGAAGATGGTGACCCAAAGAATGCCGGGACTTGGGGAAGACGTACAGTGAAGTTCTGATAATCGTGGGTGAGTTTTTTCTGCATGATATTAAATATCATGCATGATATGCATAACATATCGTGTGAATCTTTCAACCGAGAGACGAAAGTGTCTTGGAAGCAAGACGAAGCATCCAAACATCAAAGAATCAAGCACCTTTGGTTTCTAGGTAGCAGCAGCTCCTGCCAGTGGCCCCAGGCCAGGATTGCTGGATGAGGCCTGGGAGAGATGATGCATGGACAGGGTTGAACAACATGTTTTGACTTGCCTGCTTGGCGGCCTAGTTTTTGTACTGTTCAGATTGTAAACACCCCCAACTCCGAGTAACTCAATACTCGTACTATCAACATGACGGTCACAAGAGTTATTGGTGCAACCACCATAGGCTTGGCCTCATTTGTTGTGCCCAGAACTTTGAAGAATTCTACCTGGAGCTGGAGACTGGGGGTGAGCTTGACCAAAGAACATGGGCAGCTTGGTGGAAAATCACCCCTCTCTTGGGCAAAACGTATTTAGACAGATTCACCAAACCGTCAAATTCCCACACCTTTCAAGCCCTTGCACATATCCCAAGTAACACTAGGATGCTGTCCTGAATGCTTCGTTGCTGGCAAAGACTGAGGTGCATACCAAAGGAGTGCGTGGCTTCGCAGCAATCAGCAGGACCCAGACATGAATTCCCCATGTTTTTGAGCTGAAAGCTGAGGTACCCATGATGTCAAGAGAGTTCAGACAGAGCTGCCGGTCACTCAGAACGACCAACCAAGGTGAAGAGCCCACAAGGAACCTGGGGCTTGTCTGGTGGCGTTTGGTGTCAATGGTTGCGTGAATGAACGGCAGTGTGAAGAGCCGCCCAGGTTGTACAGTTGTCTCCGGATCCAAAAGTCTTTTTCACCCTTGCAGGACTAGAGCACTGGAATATACAGACCTGTGAAATTGCAGGGTTGATTCACAATGATGGTTCAGCTCTTCTAGATTTGACCCATTCAGCTTTACGTGGTTCATCATTGGTTAAAAATAAATCCTCTCTGCCTTGATTGTTTGAGAGGAGCAGGGGCTTGAGAAGCATCTCAAAGTCCTTTGTGGCATTTCACACCCGCACCTATGCAAGGCGAGGTGGGACTGAACACTGATTTTCAGCTCAACAAACTCGCTTCAGGTGGTAGAGTGCTTCAGCACCGGGGATGAGCGGGTTCTCATTTGCAGGGGCCCAAGCAGTGGACTTAACTTAGTAGCGATGGCCTCCACCCTAATAGCGATGGCCTCCAACCTAATAGCGAAAATTCAATGAACAGCAGATTATCCACAATGACAACTCCGCAGGCGAGAAGCCGCCTTCTACCTGTCTCTTTGAAGAGAACGGCGAAGCGTGGGAGCCACGTCGAAGCAATCTGGTGACACGTTGTCCGTGCATTTCACACCAAGGCCGTGGACGCGACTCGAGGGCAAAGAGAAGCAGTTTGGGTCTTAATTGGTTGGGCCCAGTTTGATCTTGCTCTTCTCATGTTGGAATCTGGACATGTTTGGACACATGTTGCAGTGGGCAGCAGCCCTCCCTTCGCGACGGGAAGGTCAGCCTCAGAAACCTCACAGATGCGAAAGGATGAGATCGTGGTGGGGGCGTCTCAGAGTTTAGACGCTGAGCGCCCTTAAGCCGGCAATAGAGCAGGTTGAAAGTCCCTGTAAGGAGGGCCTGTGGAGCCAAGAGAAGGAGTGTTAGAAACATAAAAATGGTATCAAATGGTCAATAGCTCTTCCCAACTACTTGTATTGGGGTCAATCCGGCAATCTCGACAAGTCACAAACTTCTTCCGGAGTTGGATCACTCTCAGTTCAACAAAGACGAGTTTTCCAGAAATCCTCTTCCAACAACTTCCTGAGTTTTTGGATGAAACCATACCATGTTTGCTGTCGTAGTAACAGACTTTGCTGTCGTATGGGTTTAGTCCGTTTGGTGGCTGATATATCCTGACCTCACCCGACCCATCCATTTGGCGGTCCTCCGCCCGGTCCGCCCCAGATCTCTGAACTGGTCCGACAACTCCTCTCGGCCTTGGCGCATGGACACGCGCAAGGCGAACGTCGCCGGAGCCGGTGCAGTTGTTTCCTCGTTGGAGTGCAAAAGGTTGCAACACATTGGACAATGCTTTTCTTCTTGACACTTGCCCCTTCGTCTTTGAGGGAAGATAACGTGATATCACGTGCAAGACCTAAAGCCTGCAGAGTAGAGGTATTCGGTAAGATCAAGTCAGAGCTAAGAACTGTTAGAGCTTAACTCATACAACTCATCAGCATTCTTCAACGTTTTCTTTGCGTTGTCCTTCGCCATTTCTTCTGCAAGCAGTTTCCCCGCAGTTCGTTCTTTTTCACTTCTGTAACAGTTTGCTTTTGTTCGCGGCACGACAGGCTGCGTCCACGGCATGATCACCCCAGAGAAGGTCCGACAGCAGACGCCGCGAGCACAGCGAGGAAGGACGAAAGCGATGCGCCACAACCGCGCAGCGATGCTCCACGAGGTCGAAAAAGTCGTTGCAGAGGCAAGGTTTGATCGAACGGTCTCAAAAAAAGTATGAACATTTCTTTTCAAACCGTCAAAGCCGAGAGCAAAACGAAAACAAAGGCGAAAGGTCTTGGAAGAGACTCCAAATCTGATCAAACATCTACTTGAATGCTGCAAATTGCATGTGTTATCGCTTGTGTTGAAACTAGTGACTCGTGTAGATGTTGTCGGCCCATACAAGAAGTAGACTTTGGAAGTCAGTAGCAGTTGAGATGCGAGTTCGAATGCGGACTTGGCGTTCAGGACTCCTCAGATAAAGCTGGTGGGCTTTGGCTTGGGCTATGCAAGACACTTGGTGGTCACACCGAAGGAACATGGCGATCATTGGGTGTGGGTGAAAAATCAGGACCCACGATTTCGCTCCAGGTACTTCAATTAGTGGTGTTTGATGTTTTTGAGCCACATGTCTCCAGGTACTTCAAGCTCTGGAGATTTGCCAAAGTTTTCTTCCTTCTTCCCGTCGAAGAACATGTCCGATTCGAAAGGCTTTGGTGCCACCTTTGGGATTTTTCCTCCACAAGGAGCTCTCGAAGGACTGGACCTCGAAGTAAAAGAACTGATTCGGCTGGAAGAACTGTGTCAGTTTGCCAGGAACGAAGGGCACCTGATGCACTTCTAGGCAAATTTGTTGGGTTGGCATCCGCGGCGTACGGGTTTGCATGGGATGACTTTGCACCACCATGCAGGTCTACCGTACACAGCGGTGGATTCTATTGCAGTCCAAAGCCCAGAAAGTCTGCGACATGGAAGTGCAGAACGAACAAGAACTGTGGAAAGTGAAACATTTCAAACGGATTCAACAGGCCTGCATTCTCAGCATGCCTCGATCGACACAGCCATGATCTGACCATGTTCGACTGGTTGCACTGAGTCCAAAGAGCAGTTCCTGACACAGATGCGCAGCTCTGCCTCTCAAGGAGCTCATCAACTGTGCTGTTTCTGCAGTAAAGTGCTTTCAGTGACTCTCAGACCATGGTTGACGGTTGAGGCTTTTGTGAAACAGTTGTGGGTCCAAGTGCAGGTGTTTTCTACCCTGTACCGGGCACACCCAAGTGTTGACCCATGTTTGAATCGATCTAAAGCAGAACCATCGAAGCCTGCAAAGAAAAGCGTGAGCTCGTTGGATGTCAAAGTCCTTCAGAGGAGACCTTCCAGAGGTTTCCAAGGCGCTGCAACGGTTTCATTTGTGCACACACTTGGGAGCTTTCTCCAAATGTTCCTGTATGGCAGTCATCGGCAATCCTACCGTTTCTGCACCGTTTCGGATGAAAGACCAGGAACCCAGAAAAAAGTGTTTCTGGTGGCTGAAGGCAACTCCTCGCCTTTCCGTGCAACCGGAGTCTGGGTCATGGGCCCAGTGCGAGACGACCGCCGCTCCGCGACCGGATGCGGAGACCAACCGCTGAGACGCTGCGAGGCCTCCCGAAGAGGTGAAGCAACGCTCGCAGCTG